GGCGCCCCTCGGGTGCCCACATCGCAACGCACCTGGCGACTCAGCCCTCCCTCGCCGCTTGTCCTCTCACCTGGACCCGGAGCGCGTAAGTGTGAATGGCCGCTAAGACAGGTCTGGCTCGCGTTGGAGGAGAAGGGAGCGGAAGGGAGAATGTTTGCCTTGGAAATCGAGCCTTTAGCTGGGGGGTTTTTGAAGTGGCCGAAAGTGTTTCCAAACTGGGAGAAAAGTTTACAACTGGTTGGAAGGGGGAGTAGAGGGGTGGGGCAAGTTGCCTCCCAAGCCCGGAACCCGGCCATTTCTTGGATATGGAATAGCATTTGAGTGCGGGCTCTTGCTCCTAGTCCTCATTGAGGCTAATCGGATGGCTTTTCCAGCTGCGATGGAAAAGAGGTGTGTTGAGCAAAAGAAAAAAAGAAAAAAAAGCCCATTTATACGGAGGGCTGTTCTTGCGTCCCTAGCAAAAGCCCCCGTCTCCGGCCTGCAGATTTTCTTCCTGCGAGAGAAAATCAAAGTTTTCGGGTGAAGCGCCTCGTCGGGTTGCCAGAGACGCCCTGAGAATAGAGGAGGGTTAATTTTGCACCGGCCTTGCCAAGTGGGTCGAAGGGAGTGTGTGTGTGTGGGGGGGGGGGGGGTATTGCACTTCTCTCACGCGCGCTGGAAATCTGCACCCATTCCGCGCGGATGCACTTGTCTGAATCACGCAATTCTCTGGCGGAAAGTCCCTTCGGTTTGTGTACGATTTGCTATGCTCAGGCGGCGGCATCGGTTGGGCCCTTCCACTGAATTAACCCAGCTGAACTCAGCCGGATGTACTTTTAGGTCGAAACTTATCGGGTGTTCCTTTCCGTCGACATTTGTGTTAGAATTTGTTTGAAATTCGGGGGGTGGGGTGGGTGGGGAGAGAGGGCCGAATCCACGAGCGGGCCATTTCATCAGGTCTGGTGTCGCAGCTTTGTAATCAATTCTAATCAAACCTGCCCAACACTGGCTTTTTATACTGGGCGTACCCAGCTGCCCCTTTCCTCGTCCTCTGTGGCCACAAACCGAAGGATTCCGATCGTCCCAAAGCTTTTAACTTCGTTGAGATTGAAGTCTCTCCTGGGGGAGACTCCAGTCCTTTCATCCCTAAGGACTTCGGAGAAAACGCGTGTAGAGATTGCACGTGCAAGAAGACACGTTGTGCATGTGTGTGTGGAGAGAGACCAGAAAGTGTTTCTGCTTTGATAGCGCGAGACTCCGATTTGGCTTGTTTTTTTTTCTGCAAAGGGACATTGTTAAAGAATTGGGTCAAAGTAGTTCTGTGAGGCTGAAGGCCCTGAAGGGTTTGAGAGGTGTTCCGGGAGGGGGAGGGGGGACAGAGAAGGAAAAAAGTTGTTTCCTCTAGAGATCTACCAACTTTGTATTCAGATCCATAGCAGAGGGAGGGAGTTGGAAAAGAGAAGCCAAGCACAGAACTTTCCAAACTTTGTTATTCTTTTCATGGTCCCAATGACAGCAATGACACACACTCTCCCCACTTTCTCCCCTCCTTCCCTCTCTCTCTCTCTCTCACACACACACAAACAATAAACCTTTCTGCAATCACCTTAATCATTAGGATTATAAATGTGTATCATAAATGCTGCTACCTCAGTCTAATTGCTGGGCAAACAGCTTGTTACCACAGCAGTTGGTAAAATCCTGCAGTCCTAATAAAATTAACCCAAGGGGGGGAGTAACGCTCTGGGAAGGCTGCAATTAAACAGAGAGAAAGGGGGGGGGGGAGAGAGAGAGAGAGATGCTGGCCCAATGCAGAAGATGTACCTTTAAGCCTATTTGGTAGTAAGTCTCTTTGGGTTCCATAGACTCTTGCTACTTTTACATCAACCCTTAGTTCTTCCACTGAAATAAGTGGGAAGCAGTGTTGTCTACCTCAGACCCAACTTGGTCAAGACACTTCAAAAGTGTTCACTTGCTTAGGAAGAAAGTGTTGGGCAGCTACTCAAAGCCTGTGAGATTATCTTTTTACTCCAACCCAGTGTGGAGTAAACAAGGCCCTTTCTCATTCTAATGCCATGTGCATTATATTGGTGTAGCCTGCTAAGCCTTGATTTGGCTTCATCTATGTTTTATGGCATAAACCCACACTGGGTTGGTTTCAGGCACTAGCGAAATCATAAAACATAGTTTGTAAGCACACGTTAATCCCAAACGCAAGGGTTGGCGTGATGGTTTAATGTTCTGTGTAACTCCAACTCCAGGGAAGGGAGAGAGGGAGGTTCCCAGGGGAATACTGAAGGAAGCAATGCAATCAAAGAGTTTTGTGCCACCTTAAAGCCTCATGCATTTATGATATATACATCCCCTATATATAGGGGATTGCGGTGCCATGGACTATAGCTTTCCAGAGCTGGTGTCCTCGGTACACATCCTTTAGTAGAAAGAAAAGCAACACGGAAGTTCAGCTTGTCAAAGAGCCGACTGGTGCTCTGAACTCAAAAGGGCCCACAAAATGGGAAGCCAGGTGCAAGGAAGGATCTTCCTCATCACTCAAGTCCTTTGAGGCAAATGGGTTTAGGTTTTCTTTGCTCAATTGACTGGGTTGACATGCTGGTTCCTGACTTTACCTTCCCAAGGGGGCTGGACTAGAAGACCTCCAAGGTCCCTTCCAGCTTCTATTCTATTCTATTCTATTCTATTCTATTCTATTCTATTCTATTCTATTCTATTCCATTCCATTCCATTCC